TTTTCACACTATTTGCCGATGAGAGACAAAATGATTTCTATATAACGGGTGAGTCATATGCGGGCAAATACGTGCCGGCGATCGCCTATAAGATACACTCCGAGGGAAAGGCATCTAATATTAACCTAAAGGGCATAGCCATTGGGGACGGCCTTATAGACCCGGTTAGCCAGTTCAATTACGGCGCTTATCTGTATCAAATCGGACTCCTGGATGAAAATCAAAGGGAATATGTGGACAAACAAGCTAATAAAGCCATTGATTATATTAATAATAAAAAGTATCTAGATGCCTTTATGATACATAAATCACTGTTTATGGGCTATGATTCATATTTCACAAATGTTACCGGATTATCACATTATTTGAACTATTTGTATACTAATGTTCCCGATGAGTTATCATATTATCCCAGATATTTGGCACTGGAAACGACCCGACGTGCCATACATGTGGGGAACGTTACCTTCAATGACGGCAATATAGCAATGGAGCACTTGATGGCAGATATTATGCAGTCAACTAAGCCATGGGTCACAACATTATTAGATGCAAACTATAAGGTAATTAACATTTTTTAATAAATTAGCATGATAATTTAGAGTGAAATTATTTCATAATACTTGAGTGAATATTGATTATCATTTTATTAAAATTATTACCATGAACATTAATGAAATTAGCTAATAATATAAAAATTAATAAAAATATAACAAATTTTCGGTTATTAAAATGATTGTAATATACGATAAAATTATATTTATTCTGTAATAATTAACCAAATTTTTATTTGTGAGAACTCTATTCAAAATATAATTTATGTATCCAGGTGATGTTATACAACGGACAACTGGATATAATAGTAGCCCCACCTCTCACTGAGAACTTCATTGAAAGCATAAAGTGGTCGAAAGCGAGTCAATACAAGTCCACTGACAGACTCGTGTGGAAAGTGAGTGATAAGGACACAGAAGTGGCCGGTTATGTAAGGGTTGTCCACAACTTTTATCAAGTGATTATACGAAATGGTGGACATGTCGTAGCCTTTGATCAGCCCAGGCCTACATTGGATATGATCACCAGATTTATTAAAAATAAACCATTTAAAAATCAGTGATATTATGATTTATTTTGCTTTTCATATTTTAGCCATGTAAATTACTGTTTGAAAATTTTTCTGTTCCATTATAGCATTTAATAACTAATAATAATATATTTAAAACAATAATTAAATAAATATAAATATTAATGATTTAATAATTTTAGTAGAGTTTACATGCTAGCTATTATTAAATTGTTTTATAAAAATAATATATTTTTTATAAAAAAAATGCCAAAACAAATTAACAAACTCATTATAACATTATGTAGTTATTAAAAAATCTATATTCAATAATTTAGACATATTTACGAAATACTTAATATTTAATATAACGATAAAATGATATGTTTTAATATTTCTAAATATAAAAATAATTACAATTTAATCGCTACAAAAATAATCAATCTAAATACTGCAAGTTATTAATTTGTAAGTTTTCAGTACATTCCTAATTCAACAAAAAAAAGTTATTTTGCTTTGTTTTTAATGCAGAATGTTTAATATACTAAACTTTGTTTATAAAATTATACAACTTTTTATAAATATATTCTTTTTATTCAAATTTTTTATATTTGTGTGTAAAACTAAAATCAAATTTACTTTAAACTCGAGTTTAAAATTATTAATTAAAGTCATATGCCTTTCGGTGCTATTCTATGGAGGCGTTGAAGTGACAATTGATTACTTCAGTTATCCATACGTTTATAGAGTTAGTGTTGAAACCACTAATGGCTTGCATTTACCTCCCATTACTATATGTACGGAAAGGGATGTGTTTTTGGATAAAACAAAAATTATTAAACATTTAAATATTAGCCACGAATACGAGTCATACAAACAATGGGCTAATAATGAAACTAAAATATTAATAAATCACTGCAAAAAACTTAACCCACGTAAGGTACGTGTATGTGATCAAGGTTTAATTTTTGTAGATAATTATTTTTTTAACAAATTCTTTATTGATTATAAGACTAATGTATTGACAAATTATACATTCAAAGAAATATATGAGAAGTTTACCATAAAGGCTAGTGAATTGATACAATGTTTTAAACATAAAACTAATTATAACAATAGCAGTGAGTCTCAAGTAATCTCTAATTGTCTGCAAAGTTATGTTGTTTTAGAGACTATTTATGGGAATAAAGACTTCGGAATATGTTTCACGTATTTCTATACAAATACTGATAACTCGTATCTCGTCGACAATGAATACATTGAATTTCACATCAATTATAAAACACAACAAAAACTACTAATAAATGGATATTTTGCTAAAGAACATCATGATCATTATTATAAAACATTTAATCATCTATATTATGACGACTATTTTGTTTACTATATATCTGTCGACCATTTGATTGCATCCAAAGATACATCACTTAAAACGACAAGAATTGGATTAACCGGACGTTTGAAGATAACGGCCACTCATTTGCATTTGTTGTCCAATCCATATATGAATGAATGCACTGGAAAGGGTATAAAATGTAAATTTACTTGTCTTAGCCTTAATTTTAATAAAATTATTCTAGGTAACAGTTTCGATTATGATATTTGCCATGCAAAATGTGTTGAAAACATTTATTACAAAACATACAAATGTTTACCCAATCCTTACATCAATGAAGCATTTATTCTTATGAATGCGAGTCAAATACAGTATAGAATATGTGATAATAATAGTACAGAATATTCTGTTAATACAAACCATTGTAAACAGAAATGTGTTAAGAGGTGTCACCAAATATACTATTCATTAGAGTTTGAAGACAATACATATTCAGCACAAAATGACAGCAAAATTAGGATTGAATACAAAATAAGTCAAGAATTTCACTACAATTCAGACAAAAAGTATTCATTCGTTGACTATCTGTCAAACATTGGAGGACTCATTGGTTTATGGTTTGGGATGTCATTCATAGATACAAGTGCTCTCATTAGACTTATACTGAATTATATTAAAATTACATTAATTAAATATATTAATATTAGAATAAAATTAATACTATCAAGGCTCATTAAACCTATTTCTAAACTAATTGACAAACTATTGATTTATAAATGGAGAAAAGTATTAATACTTTTAACACTGCCCATAATTTGTTGGCAAATCTACACATTAATTGACAAATACTTACAATTTTCAACACAAACTTCAATTGAAATGATTGAATACAAAGACATTAATAATAAAATATTATTGAAATCAATTCCTGCAATCACTTTATGCTATGACAATGTGTTTGAAGATATTTTATTTGATCACAATTTACGCAAATATTTTCAAAAAATTATAAACAGTAATCGTAACCTACCTGTATTAATTAACACATTTAACTCAACTGATGTATATATTATGAACCTGATACAATATTATGCAAGAAATAATGCCATTCTTTATATTGAACAACGTAATAGAGTATATTCTTGTTATACTAGTATACCAAGGACACCTGAATGTTTAGATAATATGATCGATATAAAACAACATGAACAGTTTATGCATAAATACCTTGATGTCAGAACAAAACAGGAATTTAATAAGAATTTAAAATCAATTTCCGATAATATTATAAATTCAACACAAAATGAGCTAAACTTTTATTCGAGTCATATATACTGTAAAATGAATAACAAATTCAAATGTAATGATTTAAAACCAACGCTACGAATATTATCACCATTTGGCAAATGTAACACATTTTTGTCCGATGTCAGGGCTAATGAATCAAATATTGAGTTTAAAAACAGTATTGATTTTATTGAGATTAGAGATTTTAATAATCATATTAATAAAGTTAATTATATTAGGAAAAAGTTTGTATTGCATTCACCAAATAGGTTGCCCATAATAACAGACAAAGTAGTTGAATTTAAAGATTATCTAGATAATAGAATGCGATTAATTAAAATAATTAGATATGAATTCAAACGATTACCGAAACCATATGACACGCAATGCTATGAGTATTCAGTAAATGAAACACAATTTCATTGTCTAAACAAGTGCTATAAAAATGAATACCAGAATCACTTTCAATGTATTCCCAAATATAATAGTTTACTAACCATTCAATTATATAACGAATACATTGAACCTAATGTTACATTTTGCTCGGATTATTATATAAATAAGGGAAATATATTTAATAAACGTATAAGTGATTTATGTTTCAATAAATGTCCTGTCTCATGTGTGGATAACTTATTTTTACATGATGAATTTGACACTCAGTATTTCTCAAATGAGTATGGTGGTAATAATCAATATCAATATTATAAATATGAATTAAAATCCAATTATTATTTTTCAATACAATATAATCCGGACAATACTATCATAGATCTAGTGATAAGTATAGCCAACATATTAAGTCTATGGCACGGAATCAGTTTCATTGGTTTACTCTTAGATATCATTTCAATAATTGCCAGACATCCTACATATTATCGTATTTTACAATTACTTAAACGATATAAAATATTTGGGTTTATAAAAAAATATATTGGCAAGCTTAAAACAAAGGTAAGTTTATATGATATATTAATATTTTGAGATATATCCAATAAAATTAATAATAATTAATTCCACATTAATTTTAGCGTATATTTACGGCTATATTGACGGCTATACTAATAGAGAGATTATATGACATATCAATAAATTATTTCACATTTAAATCTCTTATCATAATAGATGTGAAATCATATGAAACCGATAATAATTATCCATTTATTTCACTCGTTTCAACAAATTTTAATAATTATGTTACAAATTCATTATCAAAACAAATAATAAAATGCATAACAAGTAAACGAAAATGTTTTGTAAAAGTTAGCCACGAACAATTATTTAACAAAACAATAAATAATGATTTAATAACTAGTGGTTATCTTAAGTTCAAAAATAATATAATTAACATTGATAAAATTCAATTTACTGATAGTTACTTGTTGTATCTCACTCGACGACCTCATTTAGTCACAACTGAAACACCGGTACTACAAATAAAAACATTATTTATTCATGAATTAGACGTCAAAAATACTATGAATTTAGAAAACACCAAATTTTTACAACTATTGCACCCATTTGATGACTACAGAATCAAGGATATTCTGCTACATTCACAGCCTATTCCATACGCCAATGAATTGTTGAATCATAAAATATCATTCAAACACTTCAATCACACCGTTATTGTAAGCAAAATATTAAAAACCTATTTAACGAGACCTCACGGGAATTGTAGTTATTATGACGGCTCGACTACCGGTGAACAACCGTTTCATGCTATCTCTCATTCCCATTGTATGAGACGTTGTGTCAGACATTACGCCAATAGTCTACATAATTGTAGTGAACTATTCATTGGTTATTATTTACATGAATTAGATTTTGAAACCAAATTTGATACAGAATTCTGTCAATGCAATCTCCAAAGTCAAAGATATCACTATAAGCAGAATCAATTGCAAGGTTTGGCACACATTAGTGCCAAGTGTTTGAGATATTGCCCTAAAGATTGTTTAACAGTTGAGTACAACACGAGAGTCGTATCAAGTGATACACAAATGGGTGATGAGTTTTGGCATAACTTAAGTCTTGAAAATAGGTTTATAGAGAAATCATTGGTTTGGGACTTAACGCAACCCCTGTATGTCTATCGGGAGGAACCGGTGATGTCTTTGACAGACTATATGTCATATACTGGAGGACTGTTTGGTCTATGGTTTGGTACAAATGGCAGAGACTTTCTCATTTGGTTTATAACCAGTTTTCATGTAATATGGATTTGGTTTTATAATAGATTTATTCAATCATTTTCTCGCAATATTATAATTGTCACAACATATTAAAATTACATTTGTTTTGTTTGATTTTAAAATATACAATAGTTCAGAATAAATGCCTGTATAACATTTTTAAAATAAAATTGTTTTTTATACAAATATATAATTATCATTTCTGTATATGATCGCTATTTTAAAGTATTATACTCTATAATATACAGTGTATATTGTGAGTTACAAATTGTTATTTGAAAATGGATACACATTGGGATTTTTTCTTGTCCAACTATTTAGCAATAATAATTATTGTATTTAATTATTAATAAAAATTTTATGTTATCTCTTAATTTATTAGTTGTATTTTTTTAAATATATATTAATTTAGTTGTACAATGCTGTATAGAATATTATAAATAAAATACACTATAAAAATCGCAAGTGCATTAGGGAAATTTAACTTTGAACTGCATATCAATATTTCTTAAGTAAATAATAGATTGAACGCAGACTTTGTGAATCATTATAAGTCTGCAATATAATGATTTTGCAATTATTATCAATATTTGCAGGTATATCTATAAAAATTGATTACAAAAACCCTTATATAAAGTGAATGTAACTTTTTTATTTCAAACAAAACAGAGTTTGTAATTGGATTTCACTTTCATTATGAACTCAATAATAAGTTTAATCAGCATTTTATTCACAATTCATGGCTCGACAGCTCTTTTCGGTCGAAACACATTTCTATCACAATCTGAGGCTAATGTCAAACTGGATGGCGATGTCGGGGAACCACTGTTTTTGACGCCATATATCGAGAGTGGACGGGTAGCTGAGGCACAGAAGTTGAGTCAAGTGTCAGGTCTGCCCTCAGCGCCCAATATTACCCACTATTCCGGGTTTCTCACCGTTAATAAGGAATACAACAGTAATATGTTTTTCTGGTACTTCCCGGCACTGGTATGTCCATTGATCACACCACTGAAAAATATCTAAATTATCAAATAATGTAACATTTTTATAATATAAAATCTATAACAAACTAGTAAATATTACTAAATAATTTATTTGTATTGTAGTGTTTTTATTATACATAAATTTATATAAGTTTTTGAATTCTTATATCATATAAAATGTGTATAATCTTCTATAATGTGTAGAATGGAAACAAATCTGCACCGGTATTACTATGGCTTGAGGGAGGACCAGGTTCATCATCAGTATTCACACAGTTTGCACAACACGGGCCTATCGTGTTGGATAAGAATCTTAAGCCAAGTCTTAGGGAATACACGTGGGCTCAAGAATTCTCTGTCATATACATCGATAATCCAGTTGGCGCTGGATTTAGCTTTACTGACAACGACCTAGGTACTTATATATTAATATTAATTTAATGCTACATTTGTGTAATATCTATAATATTTATTATAGGTTACGCCACTACTGAGTCTGATGTGGCCCGGGATCTCTACTCAGCCCTCCAGCAGTTTTTCACACTATTTGCCGATGAGAGACAAAACGATTTCTATATAACGGGTGAGTCATATGCGGGGAAATACGTGCCGGCGATTGCCTATAAGATACACTCCGAGGGAAAGGCATCTAATATAAACCTGAAAGGCTTAGTGATTGGGGACGGACTGATAGACCCGGTGTCCCAATTTGACTATGGACCATTCCTATACCAAATTGGACTCCTGGATGAGAATCAAAGAGATTACGTCATTAATGAATCTACTAAAGCTGTTAGTTATATAAATAATAAAAAGTATCTGGATGCATGGAAAATAAATGCAGAGGTGATATCAAATGAGGGTTCATACCTCAAAAATATGACTGGATTGAAGTATCATTACAACTATATGACCTGTACCATTTCCGATGAGTTTTTCTATTATACGAAATATCTGGGACTGGAGGCTACCCGACGGGCCTTACATGTAGGAAATCTCACCTATAATGACGGGAATAAAGTGTTCGCAAAGTTAACTAATGATTTGATGCAATCAGTGAAGCCATGGCTGACCACACTTATGGACGCAGACTATAAGGTAGTTGATATTCATTTATAAATACTGTCCCTATGCTCACGGTAGTTTAGTTCAATAATCAAAATTATTTACAATAAATTAATGCTTATTAAGTAATTATACTAAGAATTTAGAATTGTTCAGTGTACAACTAATTTATAAATTGGATTTAAATTACAAATTTTACAAAATGAATACTATTTTATATTTTAAAACGGTATGTGTGAGGGAGTCAGTAATAAACTTAATAAAACTTAAAAAGACTTCATATTAATTTTGTTATGTTGCACCAAGGTTATTCTATACAACGGACAACTGGACATAATAGTGGCGGCCACTCTCACTGAGAACTTCATTCAAAGCATAAAGTGGTCGAAAGCGAGTCAATACAAGTCCGCTGACAGACTCGTGTGGAAAGTCAGTGATAAGGACACAGAAGTGGCCGGTTATGTAAGGGTTGTCCATAACTTTTATCAAGTGGTTATACGAAACGGTGGTCACGCCATAGCCTTTGATCAGCCCAGGGCTACATTGGATATGTTGACCAGATTTATAAAAAACGAATCATTTAAAAATAATTGATATTATGATATATCTTATTCTGTATTTAACTATAGTATACCTGTACTAGTTTAAAATTAATTTTTAAATTATGTCACAAAATAAATAAAAATTCCTAATATAATAAAAATTTTTAATTAAATATCACTGGCAAATATTTATTATTGCAATATTTACTTTAGTTACTATATAAGAAAGGGAAAAATGAACCTAGACGACCGTACTATCTACTTATTTAAAATAATTAGTGCATTGGGGACACTTAATATCAATATTTCTTAAGTAAATACTAGATTAAGTAATAGATTAAACCAGGACATGTATGAGTTCATATTAATCTTCAATATAATGATTTTGCAATTATTATCAATATTTGAAAATATAACCTGTACATCAAATTGATTACAAAAACCCTTATACCTGTATAAAGTGAATGTAACTTTTTTATTTCAAACAAAACACAGTTTGTAATTAGATTTCACTTTCATTATGAACTCAATAATAAGTTTAATCAGCATTTTATTCATAATTCATGGCTCGACAGCTCTTTTCGGTCGAAACACATTTCTATCACATTCTGAGACTAATGTCAAACTGGATGGCGATGTCGGGGAACCACTATATTTGACGCCATACATCGAGAGTGGACGGGTAGTTGAGGCACAGAAATTGAGTCGAGTGTCAGGTCTGCCCTCAGCGCCCAATATTACTCACTTTTCCGGGTTTCTCACTATTAATAAGGAATACAACAGTAATATGTTTTTCTGGTACTTCCCGGCACTGGTATGTCAACTGATCACACATTTGGAAAATATCTAAATTAATAAATAATGTAACATTTTTATAATATTTTTTAAAAATGTCCTGAACAATACAAAATCTATAGCAAACTAGTGCTACACTGAATAATTTATTTGTACCATAATGTTTTCAAATGTTTTTGAATTTTTATATCATATAAAATGTGTATAATCCTCTATAATTTGTAGAATGGAAACAAATCTGCACCGGTATTACTATGGCTTGATGGAGGTCCAGGTGCTTCATCACTATTCTCACAGTTTGCACAGCACGGGCCTATTGTGTTGGATAAGAATCTTAAGCCAAGTCTTAGGGAATACACCTGGGCGAAGGAATTCTCTGTCATATACATCGATAATCCAGTTGGCACTGGCTTTAGCTTCACTGACAATGACCTAGGTAGGAATATTGATATTAGATATATAATTTTGTAAATACAGTATATCTAAAGTTTTAGGGTATTATAGGTTACGCTACAACTGAGTCTGATGTGGCCCGGGATCTCTACTCAGCCCTCCAGCAGTTTTTCACACTATTTGCCGATGAGAGACGAAACGATTTCTATATAACGGGTGAGTCATATGCGGGCAAATACGTGCCGGCGATCGCCTATAAGATACACTCCGAGGGAAAGACATCTAATATAAAGCTGAAGGGCTTAGCCATTGGGAACGGATGGGTAGACCCGGTGTCCCAATCGGATTACGGACCATTTTTATATCAAATCGGACTCTTGGATGAGAATCAACGAGATTATGTTGTCAGGGAAACTAATAAAATCATTGACTATATAAATAATAAAAAGTATCTAGATGCATCGAAAATAAGTGATGAGTTGATATCTAGTGACAACTCGTACATCAAAAATATGACAGGATTGAAACATCATTACAACTATATGACCTGTACCATTCCCGATGAGTTTTCCAATTATGAGATATATCTGGGACTGGAGTCTACCCGAAATGCCATACATGTGGGGAATGTCACCTTCAATGATGGGAATAAAGTGTTCGCTAAATTAGCCAATGATGAGATGCAATCAGTGAAGCCATGGCTGACCACACTTATGGACGCAGACTATAAGGTAAAGTAGTTATCATTTATTTACAAATATTGCTCCTATGCCCATGGTAGTTTAGTTCAATAATCAAAATTTTTTACCATAAATTAATGCTTATTAAGTAACTATACTTAGCATGCAGAAATGTATCTTGTACAACTAATTTACAAATTTTTACAAAATGAATACTATTTAATAGTTTTTTAAAACATTTCTTTTGTGTTTGAAGTCAGTAATAAACTTCACATAAAACATAAGGTAACATAAAGTAATAAAACATAAAAAGTTAACTTCATACGATATTAATTTTGTTTTATGTTGCACCAAGGTTATTCTATATAATGGTCAACTGGACATAATAGTAGCCCCACCTCTCACTGAGAACTTCATCGAAAGCATAAAGTGGTCGAAAGCGAGTCAATACAAGTCCGCTGACAGACTCGTGTGGAAAGTGAGTGATAAGGACACAGAAGTGGCCGGTTATGTAAGGGTTGTCCATAACTTTTATCAAGTGATTATACGAAATGGTGGACATGTCGTAGCCTTTGAACAGCCCAGGGCTACATTGGATATGTTGACCAGATTTATAAAAAACCAATCGTTTAAAAATTAGTGATATTATGATATATCTTATTCTGTATTTAATTGTAGTAGTTTAAAATTAATTTTCAAATTGTGTTATGAAATAAATAAAAATTCTAAATATAATAGTATTTTTAATTAAATATCATAGGCAAACATTTATTATTGCAATATTTTCTATTTAACAAAATCTAACACAAAATAGAATTTTATTAATTTAATGAACCTAAGAATAATTTTAGTATAAATAAATATTTTAATATCATTTCTAAATTAATAATTATTATAGTATAATAGTGATAATAAAACATTTTAAATCGATATTACTGTACTTTATTATGCAATTGTAATATTTAGTTTGTTTGCTGTCTTATTGATTAATTGAGTAAAGAATAAGTTTTTATAATAATAAAAGAATGTGAAATTAAATTTTTAGTTATTATTAGTAATTTTATTAAAATTATAATCATGTATAAATTAATACAAAAATTTACGTAAATTAAATTATGTCAATCTTGTCTAAGAAGTTATTTCACAAAATCTTTTTCATATTATGTCTGACATTGTGTTTGTACCAAATCTACACAATATGTGAAATATATTTCTCATATAAAACCACAACAACTGTTAACTACGACCACATATTCAACATAACTCTGCCGGCAATCACAATATGTTTCTTTAAATTAGATGTTTTAAGGGATAAGTATTTACAACAACTCAATATTACAACCAATTATAATGAAAGCGAAAGTTATGCCTACGAAGAGAAAGTGGGAAAGTTTTGCAGCCATTATACGATTAAACAACAGTTTGATTTGTTTTACACTTATAACGAGATATTCAATAATTGCTTTGTGGCAAAGCCTATAGAAATTGAAACCAATTCTGTCAATGATTTTGACAATTTTTATATTAAATGCCATAAAATCAGCGAAATTAGACAATCAATCAGTTATTACGAGTAATATGATATCTTATAATATATTCTTAATTAATATAATATATATTCTTCATTAATATTTTCTAATTTTCTAATATATTTTAGCATTTGTTTCACAT